GGAAACAGCAAGTACAGAGTTTCTTGAGTAGTAAAAAGCCTGGTGTCTCCCAGGAGCGGCCACGTGGTGGACAGTGGCCTGAGAGGAGGTTGGAGAGACCATCCAGAGGGTAGTGTGTGCTCTTTGGAGGTTTTTCTGGCCACATCTACTCATCCAGAGGTGTTTTGTGTAGATAGAGTATATGATAAATATTTTTCCAAAACCTGCCTCTTTTCATTTAATGTATCTTGTCCTTCCTTTCAAACTAGTGCCTTTAACTAGTGCCTCAGTATTTTTAACAACTGCCTAGTATGCCAGTGTGGGGATGTAACATTACATATTTATCCATTTTTCCCTATCTGGAGAGAGTGTTTCAGAGATACACTTAAAACCCTTCAGTGGCCTGCCCATGGGCCTCAGAATAAAATCTGAGCTCCAGTTTGGGGAGGTATAGAAAGAGCTAGTCGTCATTAAGCACCCTCTGTGTGCCAGGCCGTCTTCTAAGCATCTTACATCTTGACCCATCAAATCCTTACAACTCTATGAGGTCTTATTTTTCAGAAGAGGAGCCTCAGGTACAGAGACCTGAAGTTGTTTCCCAGGGACTCACAGCTTGTAAGGGAGCTGGGCTGTGAACCAAAGAAAGCTGACCCGTGGCCCACAATCTTTGGAGCTGGACAAGCCTGGGTTTGAATATTGATCTCCCCCATTTTTCAGATGGTGAACTTTTAGGTTCTCTGAATCTTCCTCTCCTCATTTGTAAAGTAGAGGTGATAATACCTACCTCCTGGGACACTGTGATGTTAATGAGATCATGCGGAGTGCGTGTAATATTAGTTTAGGTCATGTGTGGCGTTCAAGGCCCTTAACTGACATAATGTCTTTAAGGACCTAGCATTGGATTCTGCATAAGGTAAGCTCTCAACTAGAAGTCTCCTCCCCTTCAAGCCTACTGTCCCTGACTTCTTCCTCCAAACCTTGTCCCTGCATCTCCTGCCACATCTTCCTTCAAAATGCTCACAAATTGCACTAAAGAATGTGCTCTGAACATGCCCTGAGATACTTCCACCTGTGAGTAAAGCTAAACCTTGTCCCCTGTCATATGGGAACTGACCTTGGGTTACACTCTCCAACTCTGTTCCCCTGGAAAATTTGACAATGGTAGAATGTCAGTTCTGTTGCCAGGCAATGTGGCTATGGCCAAAATGAACCCTGGTTGGTAAATAACATCTGGACTGGGAAGAACCGTGAACATCTGAGGGGGACACCACACCTTGGGCTTCCCTGATTGTGGTGAATCTTGTAATGTGCATGACCCTTGTAGGGACCCTGGGACTGTTAGTGAATATGGGGATTCTGTAGGACTGGGGGATTCTAAAACAAGGTGGACCCACACTCATGATGGGAATCCCATCTTGTTCCTGGCCAGCCCCTGAGGAGCAGGTGGATCACTGATGTCTGTGTGGATGTTGTGAGGGATGTCTGACACTGCCTTGCTGGCCATCTGCCCATATCCTTGGAGTAGATGTTAACTGTGCCTCTGGTAGCCTAGTGAGTCTGAATGTTTAAAAGTAAGACAGCCTTCTGGGTTGTGGCATCACCTCTGTGCTTTTGCTTATACCATTCCTTGCTCCTAAGCTACCCTGTACTCCAAAACGCCTGTGGACATTCTGCTTGTTCCTCAACACCAAGCCTGAACACCCTTCTCCAGGAATTTCTCTAACCTTCTACCAACAGACATCTCTGCCTCTTCTGGGCCTCTCTGGCACTGTTAGAACCTTACCCACATTTCTATCCATGACAAAAAAAAATTAATGAAACTAACATTGACGTTCACTGAGCATCTGATGTGTCCAGACACTGAGCTAATCCTGCTACACAAATTCTCTCACTGAACCCTCAGAAAATTCTATAAGATAGGCACTATCGTCATAATTCCCACTTCACAGGTGAGGACCAGAAGCTCAGTCACACGGCTAGTTCGCAATGGAGCTGGGGTTCACACCCAAGACCCCCAACTCCACTTCTGGGCTGTGAGTTTCCCAAGTGCACAGATCACATGTGTGGCATCCCCAGGTCACCACAGAGCTCAGCAGGGGGACACAGCATGTGCTTGATAAACCATGTGCTGAATGAATGGAATGAATAAAGGACATGACAAAGAAGGAAGACACAAAAGGAGGGGAAAAACATACAAAGCATCTGGCTAATCTAGATGCTGGCCAGCGACAGTCCCATGAGGAACCAGCCAAAGGGCTCGCTCAATCTGCGGAGTCAAAGAAAGGTCACCACCAGCACTCCCTGTGTGGTAAACAACACTGCAGATTTCTTTTTGTTTTTCCCAGTGAGCCCTAGCCTGCCGGCTCTGGCCAATGTCCAGATTCACTGCTCGTTTCTATATTTTTTTTCTCTTGACATGGAGAATAGAAGGAAACAGATGTGAACTGAATATCTCCTCTACTCAGGTACGTGTGAGTGAATTCCTAGATTGCCTCCTGTGTCTGATACAGAGCAGACAATTACTCTCTTTCTACAGATGAAAAAACTGAGGCTCAGAGATGTGAACTGACTTGCCCATTGTTTGTAGTTAGCAGTGCTCTGACCCTGGTTGGAGCCCCACCCTCTCTTCCGCACACTGAAGCCTCTCGAGGTTGCTGTGTTCAGCTGCACATGCTGTGCACTGCACCATCCTAGGTGTGCCATTCACGATGAGGTCTGTGCAAGAACTGTCCCTGCTTTCACTCCCCATAAAATTCCCTTTCGTAGCCACTCAAGGAATCTGTGTGGTATCTTCCAGGAAACAGCTTTGAAGAAGGACACAGGGCATGTGAAAATGTAGCCCCCAGGTATCCTCATCTGACCCAAGTCACTTCCCCCAAGGGCCCTGGGGACTGGACCTGGCTTCTTTGGTCTCCAGCCACCCTTCTCTACCTTCTCCGGGGTTCCTCCCCTTCCAGGCTGTAGAATCCATTATAATCTCTCCAGAGAGCCCCTCCCTTGTTGACTCTGAACTCATTATCTTGAGTTCAACATCAAGAATTTTCACTGCCTTTGTGAACACAATGTCCAGATGCTTACAATTGCTCAGCATCGTCTCCACTCATAGGTAAAAAGGAACTTCTTTCTGGCAACCCTGACTCCTTTCCTGCCTCCTTCCTGGTTAGTGTCCATGGAAGAGTCCCCTTCCCCCTGCATTTCTCTTATTTTTCCATGTGTCTTCCTGGGATTTCCTTACCAACTTTCTGATCACCATGGTTGTTCCCCTTCTCTCCATCCCTCCCTGGTCCAGGGAGCCTCACTGACAGGCTGTGGGGAAAAGCTTAAGTCACCGAGAATCCAGACTCACAGGATCTCAGGGTGGGAAGGAACCCCTGGCTGCTCTGGTTCATCTGAGTCCCCACCCGCCTTCTCATCAGCCATGAACATGCCCCCCTGCAACATTTCCACCTCTGACAGGAGACCCTGATCTCTTGCTAACACATTCACAGCTTGAGCTGCCGGCCTCCCCATGCCCAGCCTTCTCCTGCATGCCCTGGATCACCCCAGGAACCTGGTAGGCGTGAGGATAGCTCTCAGCACCCAGCCTCACCAGTGGAGCTGCAGCCCATCAAAAGGACTGGGGCATTCTCTCTCTGGCGTGGGTTGGGGGGGTCACATGGA